TCGTGGAACTCAGATCTTGTCTTTGTTTTTGACACAGAGCTAGAGGGACCAAGGGACAATGTTTAAGAGGCATCCTGGTGTTTGGAGATGCTCAGCTCCTGTGGTGGTGTGCAGGAGTGGGTTTTCTTCATGCAACAGACATGGGACTTCTTGCTGTTTAGAGATGATCTCCAGAAGCTGCCTGCTCCTGCCTTTACCTCCCGAAGAATCTGGGAAAAGCCTGCCTTTGGCAATGTTGAGATACACACTAGCTGCCAGCCCAGGTGGGATCACAGTCCCCCCTGCTCACTGCGTCCACAGCCCACATTCAGGGCTGTCTCTGATGCAAAGGGCTGCTCTTTCTGCTTCTTTTCTTTCCATCATATTGGAGAAGTTTATCCTGCTCCTTATCAATAGCCATGCTCTTGTAGGGCACAAGCGCAGCTCCTGCCCGCTGCTCCTGCCTGTCCCTCAGCTCCTCTTCCAGCATGGTTGCTGTGAAGTGTCTTGTGCTGCTGTGTCCTCACTCTGGTGGGTTTGTGCTTGTGATCACAGGCTCTAAACTTCCCCTATTATGGCTGCTTTTTGAACAGTGCCTTTTTATTGGCGAGTAGATTCGTGGAGCCTTTCTACTTCCTTCATCTGTAAATTGTCCTCTACATAACGAAAGAACCATTCTGACTATGTTTTGATGTGTGTGTCGCCCAACAGATGTCTGGGTGGTTAAAGTGCCCCCTGAGCACAAATATCCTGTGTTTGTGAGCTCTTTGATAGTTGGTTCAGGAATCTTTTTGTTCTTTCTTTCTCTCCTCCAGTCCTGGGGGTCTGTAGCAGCTGCCTGCTGAAGTCTCTTCTTTGTTTTCTGCTCCTGATATCTGTACCCACAGTGTCATTCCTCTACCCTCTCCCTTATCAAATTAGATTATTTCCTTCTCATAAGTACTTTTGACACGTGCAGCCATGCAAAGGCACAATAAGCATATTGGAACACACTGTTGTGTGTCTGTTGTTCATGTCTCTTGTCCTCCTTGCATCTTAGGGCCGAGCTGGCACATTACCTGCCACTCATACTGGTACCATCAGAAGTAAGTTGAGCTGGCTCCTCTCCTGCTTGCAGCCAAGTCCAACACCCCTTTTGGGCACTGCCACATCACCCTGCATGGGAATCCCAGGTCCATTTTGTCCAGGTGTGTCCTCACTTTTCCTCCCTGCTATCTCCAGCATCTCCCTTTGTGTTCTGGGCTTGGCTGGTGGCACTGAAGATCCTTCAGGGTGTTAGAGGCTTCTCCTTGCTCATTTCTTGGCTTCCTGCCTCTCCTGGTTTCTACATGTGATCCAGGAAAACCTCTTTGTTATTCTGTCCTTCCTCCCTGTCACAAACTCGTGTTTCTGTTCCATCTTTCATGAAAAGGTCTAAGACTGAAGGTGAAGTGTGATAACAGCCTTCAAAAATATGTCACTGGCTGCTGCAAACAGGACAGGAATAAACGATTCTCCATGTCCTGCAGTGGGTAGGACAAGAAATTATGGGCTTAAACTATAGTACAAGATAGATTTAGGTTTCATGTTCAGCTATCCTGGGGATATAGCACCAGAAGAGGCTGCTGGGGAGTCATTGGAGGGGCAGGTGAGATGAGCAGCTGTCAGGAGAGGCTGGGAGTCAAGGACAGTGGGGTGATCCAGAAGATCAGTTTTCATCCTCTTCAGCCCTCTTACCTCCCTTCCATGTGCTGGAAGCCTCCAGCTAGGCAACAGGCTTTTCGTGGCTTGCTCAACCAGGCTCACGCCTTTCTCTGTCCTTGCTTTTTGTCTCTGTTGCAGCAGTTCTGGCAAATGCAATTGCAGCAAGCCTGGAAATAGTCAGGGCAAGGCTGTTTTCCCCAAACCTTTCCTTGGTGCTTGGTGGCTCTTTCAAATCCCATACACTGGTGGAGGCAATGGCAGCTGCCATCAGAGCACTGGGACGTGCAAAAAAATGATCAAAACAAACAATTTGGTACACCCAGAAGGGTTAAGGGGGCAGGCTCAGAGGTGCTGCTCAAGGCCCTCGATGGGAAGCTGCTGCCAGCTTTGCAGGGGGATGTGTTTGGCACTGGCAGTGCACAGGTGGAGATGGGAATGTACTGATGGCTCCTGGAAGTGCTGTCTCAGCTGGTGATGTGGGGCTCCCTTTGGCTCAGCTCTTGGGCTGACTGTGAGAGTGTGGGCACGAGGGATGGGAGCTGTACCACTGCCAGCAGGTGTGTGCCCACCCTCACTGGGACTCCAGGACATGCAGGAAGCTGGGGATTTGGAGGGGTCAGGGAAGCAGGATTCCTTCCAGAGCTCCCCATCCCCACCTCCTCAGCAGGACACTGCAAAGCATCAGCCAAACTGCTGTCCTTGCCAAAACAAAAATGAGGGAGCCCAAAACTCACAGAAGGCTCCATCCAAAACAAACTCATGAGCAGCCACATTGTTTCTGATGCTGCTGGCTGGGAGGTTGTGCAGTCCCCTGGGCACCTTCAGCTGCCTGCTCCTGACACCCACCTCTCCTCACCCTTCCCCATCTGGCGCTGCCATGATTGTGTCGGAGTCCAGCCACATTTGTGCTGTCCCTGCTTCCCTCCCCAAACTTCCCTGGGGTGCTGGAGGGGTCCAGGGTCCTGGTCAGCCATGACCCCCTTCACTCACCCTGCAGCATTAACCCCCTTTCACAGCTCCCTACCATGAGAGGCGGGCAGGGAGAAACAGGCAGATGAATAATTTATTATAACGATGCAAAATAGGGTTTTAAAACTCTACCCATATAAATATTTATTTTTGACTCGTTAGCACCACAGCTGCCTCCATGCCCCCCAACCCTTCCCTTTCTCCTTTCAGAAGATCCCCCCCAGCCTTTGGGCTATTGTGGCTGGTTCTCCCGCTTCATCTGTCTGTCTGTCTATCCTGCCCTTGCTTTTCACATGATCTGAGCCCTGGTGCCAAACGCTTCCCGGGAAAGAGGAAAAAACCCAACTCTTTCTTGCGTACACACACACAAAAAACAACAAGGGGAGGGGGGAGACGGAGCAGCACACACAGGCACACGCACAAAACCCTTTGAAGCCTGTGCAGGGTGAGGGTTGTTTCTGTGGTAACGGCGCGGGGATTGGCGGCGGTAGGCGAGGGCCTCCATCCCGCCGTGGTGCCGAGTGATTAATGAGCCGTTGCTGGGCTGTACGGGAGCGCCTGGGCCGGGCTGGGCACCGCGGGGCTGCTCCAACGCCGCCGCACTTTGGACGCTTCTTCGTCCTCCTCTGCTCGCCCCAGGCATGCTTGCTTCAGCAGCACCCCACATCTCCTTGGTGTGGGCTCTTGTGGGATGTCAGCCCTCTGAGGGATGGGGCAGCCAGGCTTGGGACATCCCTCTGTCCCCTGCCCTGATGGTTCCAGACCAATCTTGGGGCTGTGGCCTTCATCCTGACATAGGGCCTCGCTCCTCTGCGCTGTTGTTGATCATAGAGCAGGTCCAGCATCTCTTCTGGTGCAGAGATGGACCAGATCTGTGGGGGTACATGGTGGCATCAAAAGGGCCACAAGGCAGTCCCATCTGGTGGGTGCAGGTGAGCCCACACTATTTTGGGGAGTGTCACTCACAGCCTCACCTCCACACCTGCCCTTGGCCCCATTGCTGCCTGCAGCTGCTTGTCTCCCTCCCACCCAGAGCTTCCCAAGGCTGAAAGGTGGCTTATGACTGGGCAGTGACAAGAGCTGTGCTCTCCTTGTCCCATGGCCAGCCTCGTTTTGTGGCACTACCCATTGATCCAAATGTCACTGGGGTGCTTGTACCAAATCCCAGCGAGAGCAGCAGTTCCCAGAGGACTTTACACCTCTGTAAGCTTTGAAACTCACCTCGTTTTGCTTTCCACTTTAAAAAGGCAAAGGAGAAACAGGCATCATTCGCATCTCTTGGGTGAACAATAATAATGAGTGAGTTTCAAATCTCTTTCCCCCAAAATAGCCAAACCAGAACACGCACAGCCTTCCCGAGCCACCGTCTGAAACAGATGTGCTGCCAGTGAGCAGCTATTTATAATGTGCAGCATTCCCTTTTCAGCCGCAGCGACTCCAGCCCTCGGCTCTCGCGCTCCGCAGCTCCTTTTGAAGCCTGGAGCTCTAATCCGGGGACTGTTCCTGGTGCTGCTAAAAATCTCCTCGTAAACCCACCGGGGTGCCAGGGAGCTGGAGCCCCGCCTGCTCTCTCCTCTAAAGGGGGTTTATCATCCCCAGAGGCTGTGGGATGAGACAGTCCCGACCAGGAGGGAACAGCACTGGAATCTTGTTGGGTGCTGTGTCCCAGACATCCTCACAGCTGCAGCTCTACAGAGCACTGATCCCCCTCTGCCCCAGGGCTGGGGGCTGAAACACTTTCCCAACCCCTAATTTGAGAGGACAGAGGACGAGGGAGGGTCAGGACTGCGTTGCTGTGGGGAAAGAGGCTGGTATGGGTTTGAACCGGTCCTCAATGAAGGAGAAGCACGGCACGATGGCCTGGAGGGACAGTGTGGGATGAGGAAAACTGGGGATCCAATTAAAGTGAGATTCAAGGGGGTTTGCCAGCCCTGGAGCCCACACTTACACCAGGTGTTTGCTGGCCTGGGGGTTCTGCAGCACCACTGGAGCTTTGGCACAGCTGTGGGATGGACACCTCGGGCTACCCACACTGCCGGGACTGCAGGGGGCTCGCAGGACCCTGTCCCAGGAGGGGCTGCAGCCCATGGTGCTGCCTCAGCCCCTCGCCAGGGATGAATAAGTGTGCTGGTATGTCGGGGCTGAGGGCTCAGCACGGCACAAGCATGTGGAAACTGTTTATTGCCAGGGCTGCTGCAGGCCCTGCTCTGCCTCCCCCAACCAGCTGGGCCGGTGTGGCCGCTCTGTGTGGGGCCAGGGGGCCCCAGCCTGGGGAGGGGGTGGGCGACTGCTGGGAGACAGGGCTGGTTGGGCCAAGGGGTTTGCTTTTATCACATCCCTTATTTTCTGTTTGCTTCTCTCCCGAGCAGGGTGTTTGGAGACATGGAGATCGCTGGAACCACATCCTAGGCTTTGGGGACTGCTTGAACCTTGTCCTTCCTTCCTGGATAGCCTGGAGTTTTGTCCCCAGCCTGTCACAACATGGTCATCTGGGCAGCTGGGAGGTGGGTGATCTGTAAGGAGCTCTTTGGAAAGGGAGATCCTGGAAAGCACCCCCCAGAGAGGCCTAAAATGTGCTGCTCTGGTTTTGCTCACTCGCTGTTTCGGAGGTGCCAGGGGAGAGACCACCCACAACCCCCAAACTCTGTCCTTTGATCTCCACATCCCATCTTGAGGGAGAGTATTAGCTTGTCCTCCTGAGCACCCACCAGGCTGGCATTGAAAAGAGATTGAAGAGTTCAAAATGGCCTAGTGAGGTGTCTCTAACATAAGGTGGAATTTTGGGAAGGAGCAGAGGATGGGCTGCCTTGGCAGGGTTCCCTCACCTCGGCTCTGGCAGCATAATGGATCAGCTCAGCCCAGTGGGGACACAGAATCAGGTTCCCATGAGGACAGCATCTCTGGCTGAGACTGGAGCCTTCCTTGTTTCCAGTGGTAACAGGCAAACCTTTGCTCCTGAAAGAGGGACTGTAACACAGCCCATGGCAGTGAAGCCTCTTAAAAGCTGGTCTCATTGCAGTTGTGTTAATTATTAATAGGAAAAGGGGAAGAAAACACTGGAAAACCCCAACTGTTTAGGGCAAGCTGCTACCTCATCTGTGTCCAGTGGTGTGGGCCTGGCTTTCCCCTGATCCAAAGGGAGATTTATAGGTGTCTTTTCCAGTGACTGGTGTTGGCAAGTAGGAATGAAGGGGCTTGACCACCTCTCTGAAAACCACAGCACTCCTAAACTGAGGAGCCAAATGTGTCTTAATGAAGATTTGCCCCGCAAGGGATAAAGTCCTTTTTGGCAGCATCTCTGCCCAGCAAGTTGCTGGAATTGCAGGATCTGGTGGCACAGAGGCACTAGGGATCCTGTCCCAGGATCTGTACCCTGCAGAGCTGTGTGGCCAGGATGGGACCCAAAGATGGTGCTTGAACTGCACCCACATAGTGAGTCAGAGCTTGGGGATCTCAGCAGGCAATTTTAAGGAAAAATAAATGGGGAATTTTCGTCCAAAAGGCTTGTGGGCTTTGAGGGTTTCCTCTGACTGTGGGTACCGGGGCCATCTCCATATGGGTAACTGGGAGGTATTTCCATGGAATCCAGCAGTGCTGCTGCAGGGGGGACCCCATGGCATAGATTTGGGCCCTTTATCAATGCTGCAGGAGCAGTGCTTGGCATGGAGAGACACCAGCCTGATGGAGGCTCTTGGCAGTGCCCTGGCTCCATGGTGTGCAGCTGGGGGAAGCTTTGCATTGCCCATGGGCTTCCATGTGGGGAGGAGATCCCAAACCTCAGGTGCAGGTGATAGCCATAGGTACTGCCAGCCCATCTGCCTTCCCACCACCCCTTCCAGCAGCACTCTCCTCTCTCCCCTCTCCCTTCTCTTCCTTTCCACTCCTCATTCCCTTTCTCTCCCTTTCTTCCCCTTGCTCCACCCCCCTCCAGACTCCTCTATGGGGCATTGATTTTTCCATCCATCAGCGAAACGCTTGAGGAAAATGAAAGAGCATCTTCTTGATCGATCAGGAGAACTCTTCAGCCTGGGGTCAGGAAGGGTTTGAATCAGCTGCTCCTCTGGCATATAATTACCCCCTCTCTCCCAGGCTGGGGCTTTTCACACGCCTGCAGGAGCAGCCACCCACTGCGGGGACAGAGCATCGCTCTGGAGAACACATCCGTGGGTGCAGCCATGCTGGGAGAAAGTGCCTGTGGATGTGTTGGGTTTTGGGGCTGCCAGAGCTCAGTGCTGGGCCGGGTCTGAGCGCTCACACTCGCTCTGTGCCGAGCAGGGTGTGTCGAGTGGGTGTGAGCTGCTCACAAGCCGGAATCGACCGCTCTGTGTCGAGCTAATTCTATGCAGAGCTTAGTGAGGGTGGGGATCTCTGAGGCTGCGAGTTTAGAGAAGCTGAAGGAGAACTAAATCTGATAGGAACCGGGTGCCCGACTCCCTCCTCTGTTTGAACATCTCATTTGCACGGAGCATCGTCTGGGGTATGCTGCACATACGGACCGCGTTGGTAGCAGCCTGGAGATGCCTGTGGAAATGCCAGAGTTTGCCATCTGGTACCATGCTGGCCTCTGAGGTCCCACGGCTTGCTGCCCTCCCCCAGAGAGCCAGCAAATAGCTGAGGGAGCTTCTCATTCCACCGTGGGGTGGCTGCATGGAAATGTTGACTTCTTCATGGCAACCGGTGTGAGTCATGCTGGGAGCTGGAGGGGGACGTCGGTGCCTGTAGCTCTCCTTCTCTCTGTGGATGTTGCCTGCTTGCACGGAGGTGTTGGCACAGCCTTCCTGCAGCTCTTGCTGGAGCTCCATCTCTGCTCGGTGGGATTTGCTCGCTGCTTTTCTTGTGAGAGATTCCCAGTGCTCATATGTGCACTGGTGGGGTTCAGCAGTCCAAGCATGTCATGCAAGAGGGCTGCTGCCTTGAGTCTTGTGACACAGCAGGGAAAATTTATCCTTTGGATTTGTCTATCAGCATGGAGGGATACCAATCCCAGAGCCAACCCCAGACATTTCAGCACATCCCAGAACTTATAGGTTCAGCATTGCCAGTCTCCACTGACCCTTAGGATCCCCATTCCCAATTTCCCCTTATTTTCCATAAGTATTGGTCAATGTATTTCCTGAGCTAAATGAAGGGGTTTCAGACCTAGGGGTGAACAACACATGGCTGGCTGGAGCTTGCTGGGCTAGAACTGGGACACAGCATCTTTCTGTGCTGGGCTGTGCATCTCCATCTAACATCACTGGGCAGATGCAGCATGAAATCATGCCTCGAGGGTGATGAAGAACAGTAAGAGAGCAAGGGGGAAATGCATTAACCATGGGGTTGTTCCTCCATGTTGTGCCACTTTGGCCTGGGAGCTCAGAGCCATTTAATTCTCCATGTGTTTCCTTGCTGTTCTGGGAACAAGTATGCACAGAAAGAGATGAGGACAGAAAAGCAGGGTGAGAAACCAAAGCTCCTGCTCCCACCACAGCCAGTTCTGACCAGCCAGACCAGAGCTCCACTGGAGAAGGACAATGCAAAACTTTGGCTTTCTCTCTCCAAACCAGCAGGCATGAGGCTGCTCCAGCCTGGATGCGTTGCAGATGTGCTGATAGCAGTGAGCTGAGTACTAACACTGCTGTGGAGGGACTGCAGGTAAGGTAAGGCAGAACTGGGTTTATCTGCACCACAGATAATGTCTTCTGCTGAAAGCAGCTGAAACAGCTGCATCCTGGCGTTGTGGCACAGTTTATTTTACAGCAGGCAATAAGAGCTTGTCCCATGTCCCTGGTAAAACGTTGACATAAAGCCCCATCTGATCAGGGTCTTTTCCCTGGTGGGATTTGGCATCAGTCAGGTAGTTGGGGGAACTTCTCTTAACCTGTGAGTGTTGTGTCCTAATATAAATGTGGATCTAACCCAATTTTCTTGAATCTGCATTGCTGCACTGATAGCAAGGGAGAGAGGCTGATTAATGCAGGTGGGTATGGGATCTTCCTGTTATTCCTTTCAAACAGAGGCTTTGGTGAGCTGTCACCAGGTACAGTCACTGCTGGTTCAGGGCAGATAATGGGGATGGGGGAACTCAGCATCTCTCCATTGGTTTGCTGACCATCTTGCTGACTACCCTTGCTCATATTCCTTGGTCTTCCTGCTGTCTCCGTGCTCCCAGGTCTGTAAAACGAAGATAAAATACAATCTGACTTGCTGAGGAGCTTGCAGCCCAATTAAGAAGTGCACACTAATTAAAGTGAGCTCCTCCATTCCTGTTGATATCCCATAGCCATCAGTGGGGCGCTGGAAAGCTCTGGGATGTGAGAGTGTGAGGTTGCGACAGAGACAAAACAATACGCTCTCAGACTGCTGAACAGAAAGTGGATCCATGTGTTAATCTGGGAAAAGGAGTGTGAAAATAGCTGCAAATCCTTCACGACTTTGTTGTAATTTCTCCCAGATAGGATACAGCCTGCTCCACACTCCAGCCTCCTTGGCTCCCAGGTCATTACTGAGCTGAACCTGAGGCTGATGCAAGAGGAAACCCAGTCCCATTGCTGGGCTTTGTGCGGGACTGATGGAAATTTAGGGGGAAAGGGTTAATGATTGCATTGTTTGGGGGCAGCTGGGGTCCCAATGGCTTAAGGATCAGCCAGGTCTGCTCCCTGGTGTGTCTGGGGCAGGTTCCTGGCTGCCTTAGCCTGGCTGCTGGGGGAGCTGGGAGGACGCCTGGGCAGGTAGAACTGAGTGGTGCCTTTGACAGCAGCACTCTCACATCGGGTGGGTGACCGTGGGGTGTGGAAAGCCGGCCCCTCCCAGCTGCCCAGCTGCCTTTCTGCTAATGCTCATCTAATTAAACAGCAGCCTGGAGTGGCTGAAACCAGGGCAGCAGGAGAGCTGAGCTTTGCATTCAATAGGTTCCTGTCTCCAGCTCAGAAACCAGAAGAAAAACCCATTTCATATTGTCAGATCAATACGCAGGTGGCGTTCCACCTCGTTTTCCATTCACCTTCTCCCACTCTCCTTTCCCCTCCTGGGCCAGGGAAGCTTTTTAAAACTAGAGCTGGGCTGGGATTGCTAGCTGTTGGTTTTTGCACTTCATCCCCCATCCAGGATGCCATGCATGCCACACATGTGCTGCACAGCTGAGAGGTGCCAGGAGTGGTGATTGCTGGGACCATGATCTCAGCAGGTATCTGGGAAAGCAAATCTTGGCTTCAAATCGGGGCATGGTCCCTCCTTCAGGGAGGATTTTCAGTCACTAAAGTCTCCAAAGAGCCATTGAGCCAATCCACTCAGCTCCAGGACTGTGAATATGAGTAGGATTTGACCAGGAACTTTTGTCCTGCTTGCTCAGGTACAGGCAAGGGTTAACAAGAAGTGACATTTTATTTTGCTGCATCTTTGGCTTTCTGGAAGGAGATGCTCTTCCTGGTGCTTCTGCTGTTGTAAATGCATTCTTCTTCCCAAGGTGTCTTCTGAAAATGAGCTCCAGCATGTTGTCAGTGGTGGAGAGATGATTATGGAGAAGCAGCTGTCCGTCCCCTCCTGCCAGCTCCCGGCGAGGCAGCGGGAGGGGTGGCAGCTCCTCTGGGTGCTTGCTGCTGGCAGCAGATTTTGCAGTGCCTGATCCAGGCTCTGGTGTAAATAAGCAGCTTCAGGCTGTGGCCTTTTCCACCTCATCTCAATGCACTGGGGCAAGCAACCACCATGCAGTGCCCAGCTCTGTGCAACCTCCAACCGTGGGGGTTTTTTCACAGTAAGAAAGTTGTACAAATCTTCCCCAAACGTCAGCCTGCTCAGGCAGCCTGCAAGGGGTCGGCTTCAGCTCCTGTATTGTTTCTCTCTGCAGGAGAGAAATTACTGTCCTAATTCTTCATGCAAAAATGAGGGATTGGAAACAGGCTGAAGGGGAGAGGAGCTGGATGGGTGCCCTAGTGACCTCACCAGCTCAGAAGACAGCAGCCCTGTCTGAGGTTACCATCTCTCTGTCCCTTCCCTGGTCCCTCTGTCATTAATGCTGAGCTGGATTTATTTGGTTTATTATCCATGCTTCTGCACCAGTATTCAACGATTCAAACACTGCCCAGCAGCATCTGAGCCATGCTGGATCACAAACCATCTCGGGATGCTCCAGCCAAGAGGGACGTGAGCTCCACACCTGCCAGCAGGGCAGGGCTGTCACAGCCGGATGCAAGCTCTTCCCCGGTATCTCTCCCTCTTCCCCTTGCCCTAGCCTCAGGCCAAGCAGGAAAAATCCTTCAGCAGACCCCAGCTGGGGCTGCTGGCTGCCGGCTTTCCATGGCAACAGTCCATCAGGGGGTCGGAGTCGACAGCAAAAAATGCTGCCCCCCCTCCTTCCCCCGCCTGGGCTGCCGGTCGCTATTTTGATTGCATTCCTGGGGAGCTGGGCTGCAGATGTGGTCGCCTTATCTTGGGAAGGTCTGAGTCAGTTTTTCCCTGTGTGACAGAGCAGGCAGCTGAGGGCTGGAGGGAGGAATAAATAACTCCTGAGGTATGCCAGGGAC